CAACTCATCAGCGTTTAGAACTTCGATGTCTCGGATATATGTCCCCACGTTTACATGTTTTAGGCTGTAATTAGTTAAACGGTCTTTATCAGCTGATTGTTTATAAGAAGTCAACATAAATACACTCATAGAATTGTGACATAAATTACTTGTATGAAGTTTGTTTCTATATTAATATATAATAATATGGTGTACACACATATACAAACACACGATAAGCTTAAATTAACTTAACTTGTTTCAGGTTATGGCATATTGTTGATTTGCATAAAACGATACTTACATTGGCTGGGGCTGAATCTGGTGAGTTCTTGTGCGACTTGTTCACATTTGTTATTGTGATGTATTGACATAGTATTTTAGATAAAGTATACGCTGTCATCTGATTAGAGTTTATGTAATATGTTGTACATCACACTTGACAGAGTCTGATATTGACGGTATGGATATGTGGGAGACATTCTCTAAAGGTGCACCATCACCAAGAAATGAATTTGTGTATAATATCGATGATTTCGAGTTGTCTCCCAATGCTGCTATTAGGTAAGCACAGAGATATATGTAATGTGTGTGTGTGGGGAGGGGCGGTGGTATTGAGCCGGTAACTATGTTTTAATCTGGTTTCGAAATGTTGTCCACACGCAGCATACAGAATATTCAGTTCTACTGAATCTATGGGTATTGAATCATGTTGTATCAACGAATTTCCCAGTTATTAAATGTCATTATATACATATACTAGAAATATTATATATGTTGCATATAATGTCACTTTGAATTATGTTTTGAATTTGTTTAGGGTTGGCGATTATAAACTGATTACAGGAAATCCGGATTTATTGTATCCATTTCGACTGGCAAATCGATCAGGTAAAAGTTGTAATTGAAACATCATCCGATCCAAATAAATAGTTGACCGCGAGTGAATATACTAAAAACAGAAATGGGTATTATGTATGTATCAAGTATCAATATTCAATTCCACGATCTAATGTATTTTAGATGATTGGTACAATTATGGTGATGTCCCTATAAACGCGTTATTTCTATCCCCGGATGAAGATTTACCTCCTCCACCAAACGTGACGTGGCTGTTCAATATTAAAGGTAAGAATGACGTAGCATAAATTAGTCACTTGTATATTACATGTATGACCTTTGCCGTGCAAACTTGTCATATAATTCAGGGATTGTTATGTTCAAAAACAATCATTCAGCAAATGTCATAAGCATACTTACGCATTCTATATTACACAGATGATCAGCGAGAATGTAGATTAAAGGACATTTTTTTTAAAACAATACTAAGGTTTATATTAATAATATTATGTCAAAATTAAGCAAAATTAAGTATATCACAAAATGATTTCTCTTTTAGAAACCAGTGCAAAAAATGCAAATTTTGACCATTTTCAAAAATATTCGTCGAAAACTTGTCCGGTTATCCCGATTTATTTTGACTTATTGGTATGCTAATAACTTTACCCATTATGATGATAGCGTAATAAAGACGATGTGTGATCCCTAAATTCGGTCTAAAATTCTATTATTGAGTCGTCTCTAGTTAAAATTCATTCCTACATGCATTGTCCTTGTATCAGAATACCAAGTTATACTTCTGTATATTATTATCCCTAATAATTTATTTAATTTGTCCAACACGCAAAAATATATTGCAATATATTAAAAGTGTTCGTATTGACAGGGCCGTGTGAATGTATTAAAATTGTGTCTGTAATTGGGACTCATTTTTTTAGGCAAAAGTTAAAATTTTATAAACTTCCATATTTTGAAAACTAAATAACGCATCTGTCTAATATCTGGTAAACATGAAGCCTGGAACCTGGCTTGTTTCTAGTGTATAGGCTTTGTCCATTTGCATAGTGAATACATATGCATACACATTAAATTTAAATTTTCGTCTGTTTGATCAGAAATAGTTTGTCGGAATTTTATTCATCAAATCTGAGTGAATACAGCCATAAGATTAGAATCCAACAATTGCTGTTTTGTAGCTAGTTTTTATGTATAATGACACTTTCAAAATATATTTTCTAAGTGATTCAAGATTAAAATGAAAGAGCATATCTAAAGTGAAATTATGTATATGTCTTATATCATTACGAGTGTCACGTGTTTGAGGTTACGTTAAACATATCAACACCGCATATTGTGAATTTCCGATCTGACATCGGAATGAAGATTAATCAGTAGATACAAACCCACTATTTAAACTCGTATATTTACAATTCAGTTAACTGTCCATACAATTTACATTAACACCATCACTAGGCAATGTGATACAGTAACAGTAGTTGAACACCAGTTGTCTCTCTCAATGCAGATGATCCGGAAGAGAAAAACGACATCGCCGAACTATATCCAGAGATAGTACAAGAATTAAGTCATCGGTTGGATGAATACCGTGAAGATCTAGTTCCGCCGGTAAACTTATTATCAGACCCAGCTGGTGATGCAGCAAATTTTGGTGGTGTTTGGTCGTCGGGATGGTGTTAGAATCACTGATAGATACACTAAAATCATCTTCTAACATTTCTTGTCATTTTAACTGACAACCGAGTAGAATTGTTATTATTCAATTTATTCACAAATCATTGTTCAATGTAATTTTACCAATTTAATTTTCCATGGTGCTTTCAATAGATCATTTACATATTTCTTATGCACGTGATATCCTGTCCTATGACATCAACCACATGTAGGCTCGTTCGCAGCTAGTTCATGACGTACCAGGTTATCATCTCGTGCATTTAAACAAATGAGGCAAACACATGCAAATTTGTCAGAATTTCATATCAAGAGTTTCTCTACCGATTGTGCAGTGGTGTGATAGATTTATTTTCAGAAGATTTTAGTAATTTTTGCATAATTGGCTTACGTGATTCACGTGATTCCAACACACATTACTTTTCTGTGTTCTCTCTTCACGCGTATATAAAGCGAGTTCTGTCAGCACTACAAACTCAGTCTAAAGCCAAGCATTGAAATTAAAGTCCCAGTTATTTCAATGCGTTTCTGAATAGTTAGATTATGGTTTAAGGGATTAAGCAAACCGCTTCGATTGGATTTTGCTTGAGCTAATATCTCTCGTGTGTGCCAGGCCTAAGGTTGCTCAATAGTTTCTCGAACAGGGAGGGTTCGAACGTGTTATATCATTCATACATGCATACGTCAAATTACTTAAAAACTGCTGTATCTTTACAAATATGTCTGTACCCTATTTGTATTTATTTGTGCTTGAATGTAGACACATCGTTTCATTACGTAGAATTTCAAAAAAATCGCCATTAAGATGTTTGCTTCCATTGCCAATGTAGCTGCTTGACAGTGATCGTCGTCAACCCTCAATGCATCTGAATCCCAATCGATATAAACCTCACAAAACGGCGAATTTATTGCAGGAATAGCGCTCACTTATATGTAAAGATATGGAGACGACACTCAAGCAAAAGTAAAGTAAAAAGAGTACACAAAGGCTGGAGTACGAGTTCTGGCAAAAAACGGGACGGATGGCAGCCAATGAGACACAGCTACACAAACTTGGCTTAAAGTGCCTGTGAAATGGCTGCTAGTGCACTACTATATGTGATGTCCAGCACTGATAGAAGGAAGTACTGAAATCCCATAATGCCCGAAATTGCTAGGTGACCAAGGGACAACATAACCAATTTAGTTTCAACATTCATGATAGGTTCTCATGATTTTCAAACATTTTTACTATTATCTGGTTTCTCTGTAGTATACTTTGAAATCCAATACACAATGCCCAGTATAAAATTGTAAATAAATTAATATTTAATGCAATTTATGCAATGTCTCTTAAACAATTTTGGCCAATCAGATGCATGTAAGAATATTTAGAAAGTTAAAAGCAGGATCAACCCTTTTGGCAGTGATATGCCAAATATGTATTCCTAATTCCTGCACTTACATTTTGAGAACCAAACTTAGTCCAAAAAACCAATATGGTAAATACAGTCACACGGAAAAGCTGGTAATGTGTTACTCGTGGTAAGAAATGAATGAAACTCTTCTGTAACAACATAGCAATTTATACAAGATTTTAATAGTTTATATACAGTACAGCAAATTTTACAATACATAGAAATTTTGTTGTTACATCATATTAACAGTTTATATAAGCGGTACATGAGAGTCTGAGTACCGATTTGGGGAATATCATATATAGCATTTAGTCATTGAAAATACTGCAAATATAGTGCAGAAATGTGTAAAACTTGGTTGGTGATGCTATTTTAGCAGAAATAACACATATAATCTAAATTTCAGCTTAGTTTATAGTTAGTTTATCAATGGCAGGGCTAAAACTTCTAACTCAAAGTTGAAGCCTTGAAATGACTTGTATCAAGAGGAGAATACTAGTGGTATAATTAAACTGAATATAAATGTCACATTATCACACTAGCTCAGTGTTTTTTTGTTTTGTCAGATAGAATAACACTTTTTGGTGAGGGGTTAAATTTACAAATGGTAAAGTTTTTTGATTGCTGAAAGAAAATGTTGTCAAATGGAACAGTTACTAAAATACTTAGTATTGCACCAAAAAATAAGTTTATAAACACACTTCCAAAACTAAACAAAAATTGTAGTGCTGTTAAAATGTATTTACATCTTTCATTTTAGAGTGAAACAGAAATTTTAAGTTGAACATACCACTTTAATTTCCAGTTTAGTCACTGGCCAATCTGATACAGAATGACACTAATCCGAAACGAACAGCGGAAAACAATAAGAAGATGGAAGTACAATTTATGATGTTCATCAGTCTTACAATCTTATAAGTAGATTTACATCATATAGGCATCACTGCATAATAAATAATATAAGGTTATTACGAGGATACCTCAAAGTATGCACAAAAACAGTACAGCTGGAGTATCAACCAACACGCAAGTGGAGGTCAATGCGCAGCGAACTGTATGAGTGCATACTTTGAGGTATTCTCGTAATAACCTTATTATTATACATCTTTTCCTACCAAGGATACGTCACAGGAATGCCGAAATTCAAAAAGTTTAGAACAGAATCAGTGAACTTCTTTGTGTGGAGTCCAGTCAAACCCTGGTGGCAGCCATGTTTGTTTTTATTATTAGAGGACGCTTGTGCTCGTAATTATTCCATATTTGGAATTTGCATTTCCTAATATGGTAGAATGAAAATACCCCATATAATAACACAAAATTATGCCTGATGGTGACAGATGTATAATAATGCATATTATATGCAGTCATTGGATTGTTTTGTTTTTTTGTATGTGGTTAAGCAGAACTAAAAAATTGAGATGGACATTGTGACATTATAAAATACACCATGCATTATCCATTCTGTATGCGCCCACAAAATATGCACATGTTATGTTTACATCCATCTAGAAGACATTTGCTTTGATTAAAAGGATGTGCAGTCAACAAAGCTAGTGTGATCTCTGGTAGACATTTATTTATGATATGTCACATCTTAAGATAGTCTTGTCATGGTTAAGATTAAGAATTCCTGATCACTTTACTGTGTTTTGTTTGAATATAATGAAACTGAGATTGCAGAATATTGTCAACCACTTAAATAGTAAGAGGCAAAGTCGGAAAAGATTGCAAAATTAAGGTAGTTTGCTACCATAAAAATTTATCATGTAAATCATTAAAAAAATGATGTGTACATACATGTAAGTCATCATATTTAAAGTTTTTTTGGTAAAAGAAGGATGTGTTTTCAAGAAAGAATATACAAAATAATCCAGAAGCAACCATTTTAGAACATTTTCCATAGAAATCCACTAATATTCAAAATTCTTCTATTTTCCATGACAGCCATATGTAGCCAGCCCCTCATAACACTACATATTTTTTTACAAACAAAATTTTGTGTTATGATTGGATGTTTCTGCCATACGAACCATTTATAAACTACTCAAAACGCACATTTTTGATCAATTTTCGAGGTCATTTTGTGGAAAAACTAGTTTGGTTACCATATATTTTTATTTCAGAATTTTGAACAGTATAGTACCCACCCCATCTTGGTGGATTTCAAGAATTTCTTTTTGTTTTTTAAAGTTAGAAAACTCCATTAAGCATGAATGAACATTTTATTGGCGTCCTTAAAACAGCCTCAGCAATTTTATCACTAAAATTTGTAGTAACAAAAATGTTACAGTTTAGAGGTAACTGAAATTCCCAATTCAATTTAGCTGCGATGCTAGAAAGTGTGTTTATACATTTGCAGTATATACAGTGACATTTAGTAGATATATGTGCAATCTCACAGAAACAGAATATTTATATAGACTTGTGCCAGGATGGGACAATAATCTAAGAACCGTAATTTGGGAGCTGGTAACATTTTAAAAATTTAAGACTTGACTGAAAAAAAGTAACGTATAAAAACAAATATCAAATGCATGTTCAAAATACGACTCCAGAGGGAGCACTGCAGTTTAATATATTTCACAAAATGTAAAAACAAATACCCTGACAAGAACACTGTCTAAATTACTTTGAAAATGGAAAGTAAATACACGTGACAAGATTTCAGATATTGTGGTAATTAAAGGGTTCAGAAGGTTAAGTTTTATGGAATAATTGAATTGCACTGCGAGGAGATCGAAATGACAAAAGTAAAAACAAGAACACATGTAGATGGTGGCCATGAAGAGACTATAAAGTCTGTGGCAACTCCTAAAACCTATCTACAATGAAACATAGTGTTAACTTCAGGATAATCACTTTTGGGATAGGAAGTTTTTTAACCTTTGCTAAATTATTCTTTTTGATGGCTGTATAAAATTTTATGAACAAACTTGGGATAAATGGCTGACAAATTAGGATTTAACACCATAAGGAAATTTGTTAATGTTTTTTTGTTTTTTTTACTTCTTGTGAATTATTATTTTTTTGCTAGTACCTTTCACTCAATATTTCAAAATTTACTCATTTTCACTAGTTAGCCATTCCATATTTTGTTTAAAAACGTCCATCAAATCAAACATCTCTGTAAACTTAATTTTCTAAGTCCCAATGATATTCGTTTTTGACATGTTTCACTGTAAGACCTCTAAAAACTGAATATCTCAGTAAACTGAACAAGTCCTGTAGGTAGTAAGTTCAGACAGGTTCTACTGTAAACTAAACATTTTATTTAGTCTCACAGGTTGAATTAGACATATTTCATTGTATTTCTAAACCAGGTGAGAAAAAAACAATTTTGTCATATTAATTTTGTACTGCTGTGCTGTACATTGTTGTAGAGACACAAACACAATAATGATAGCATTACTGTAGGGCATAGGAAGGAAAAAGGCAAGCCCAGGGTTGAAGGATACAATGATCTGGCATAAAAAGTATCGTAACAAGCTGTGCAGGTCAAAACAGGCTCAGCTCAAAAAACTAAACGCTATCTACAACAACAAAAAAGATACAATCATGGTAGGTCGAAATGCACCTCAGTTCAAAATACGCATATATTATGTACATGTGACTGTAATGTGAGCATCATGTGAGCATCATGTGCCGTCTCTTGATTGGTAGAATAGTATGTATCCTGATTCGGATGTCTTCTGTAAATCTGACGTCAATCCGTAGAATTCTTCTATTGCCTGTGCATCAATTTTCTGAAATGAGATGAAATGACATGTCTGTAATATCAATTTCTGTTGATACATGTACTACTTTACAGTGATACTACTTTACAGTAATACTACGTTACAGCGATACGTTACAGTGATACTATGTTACAGTTATACTACGTTACAGTGATACTACTTTACAGTAGTACTACGTTACAGTGATACTACGTTACAATGATACTAAGTTACAGTACTACGTTACAGTAATACTACGTTACAGTGACACTATGTTACAGTGATACTACTTTACAGTGACACTATGTTACAGTGATACTACTTTACAGTAATACTACTTTACAGTAATACTACGTTACAGTAATAGTACGTTACAGTGATAGTACTTTACAGTGATAGGACTTTACAGTAATACTACTGTACAGTGACAATATTTTACGGTGATACGACTTTACAGTAATACTACTTTACGGTGATAAGACTTTACAGTGATACTACTTTACAGTGATACTACTTTACAGTGATACTACTTTACAGTGATACTACTTTACAGTAATACTACTTTACAGTGATACTACTTTACGGTGATACGACTTTACAGTAATACTACTTTACGGTGATACGACTTTACAGTAATACTACTTTACGGTGATAAGACTTTACAGTAATACTACTTTACAGTGATAGCACGTTACATTGATACTACGTTACAGTGATACTACTTTACAGTAATACTACGTTACATTGGTACTACGTTACAGTGATACTACGTTACAGTGATACTACGTTACAGTGATACTACTTTACAGTAGCATTTAACATTAAAATGATTGACATTGTGTATCTGATCTTGTACTTGAGAGTCCATATTGAGAGATAGTGCTCTGGAATTAGGCGAAGGTTCTTCGAACCCGCCTATTCACATAGTTCATACCCACCATAGACTCCGGTCAGTCAAAATGACTATTTTGAACTGTAGGCATTAATCAGCGATTCTGCCGGTGACGG